CACACCACTCAAACACACACACACACTGCTCACACACACACACACACACACTGCTCACACACACACACACACACACATGGATCTAATTGTGTGCGACAATGAGAAGTAAACTTTGGTCCTTCAGTTATGGATTTAGAGAAATCATGTGATGAATGCTTGTTTAAAACATGACCCAACCATAACAAATAAAATTGAAATACGCTTGTTCTCCTGTCTGAGATTGACTTTGTTGTTGTTTGGTTGCTTGGTGGTTTTTTGTCTGTTTTGTTTTACTGTGATTTTACAGGTAACTGAAGTAACTTGTAAGCACAGTTGGAGAACTTTGTGATGAATTACATCTTTTGCCTGAATCATTTAGCGTCACTACTTTTTATGAAGATATGCTTCAAGTCAAGACATTTCCTAGACAGAACCTAAGATAGTAAGAAAATTGTTCTTCGAGCCTGAAAGAAGAAGCACTTTCCTTCCAGGACTTGTGGTGACATCCAACAGTGATGATGCCTAAATGTAAGGACCCCCACAGTGAGATGGACCTGTGTGCAAAAGCATCTATGAGGTGAAAAGATTGCATCTTTTATTTGTACAGTGCCTATGCTGTGGTGGCTGTATCTTATGTATGTTTTTAAATATGCATAATGATATTAGAGTATAATATAAATAAAATATATGTATTAACAACATAAGCTAAAAATGTAGAGATAAACTTTAAATCTAGAAGAAATCTGTCCTTCCCAAGTACCATTATTCCAGAAAAATCCCCCTGTCTTTTCATGTTAGCAGTTTTTCCACAATACTGTGCTGTCTGTCATACGACCAATCATTGGATTCTCTCCCATGAACCATTGCTTCCTCTAGTCCCCCCAGATCCCCAGTCTCAGGTGTCAGCCATGTATCTACAGAAGGGTTTTCCCTGTTTCCTGCCTCCTCTCTCTTCCCTGCTCCTTCCTAAGCTCAATCTCTTGCTTCTCCTTCCCCTCTGCTCAGACGCATCCACGTTGCCAGCACAGCAACAGATTAGAGTTTGAGCCAGCCTTCTACTTTTACTATTTATCCTGGCCTTCATCTCTCCTCAGTTCTCAGCCCCACAGTCCCTTTCCTGCTTTGTCCCCGTCGGTCTCAGCCCTGCTGTTCCTCCCACACATCATTTCTCTGCTCTCTGTTTCCTCTCTTTGGAATGTAATCAGTTGGTGAAATACCTTTTTCTCTTTTTAGGAATTTTGCTTTCACAACATGCGCCACCTTGAATAGACTTAGCGAAGGGGTGAGCAGTGTTCCCTGGATAAGGGAATGAGGGGCATGTCACTGCTGTTCAGCTGGCACTTGTCATGAGCAGAGTCCCATTTTACTCAAGATACACACCTTCCAGCTCTCCAGCTGACCTAGTCTTAATCTCTGGCTTCCTCTCAATATTCAAGGTTGCGTTCAGCAAAAATTCCAGATGATAGATTTCTGTATGTGGAGCACACAAACAGACACCTTTCTTTTTGCATCTCAATGAGATGACAACGTCTTCAAAGAGATTTTTGTATAAAGGACAATAGGAACTCCTAAAGAAAAAAAATTAAGCTTCTGAGTTTCTAAAGCTACAGACTATAAGCTGGTCTGGGGAGGTAACCCCAAAGGTACTAGCGTATGTTTAGGGAAAATATTTAAACAACCCAGCTATTGACCTTCCTTAAGAATAGTTTAATGTTCTGCAGTGATACATGTACATAGGTGCATACACACAAATCCATGTACAAGCAAGATAGTCAAAATACTTAACGCTGGATGATCTAAAGATTTAGCCTTATAAATTGCTCCAAATGATTTCTGGAAGGCAACTCTCACCTTATATGGAAAGTCTAACATCGTCGTCACAAGTAGTGCACCTTTCCGTTTAGATTGCCTGTTTTGCAGTTCACGTTAGGATGAAGGGTTTCATGCATTGACTGGCCTGCTGCTCAGCTGCAGTCACTCCCTCCCCCGAGGGGTGGAGTCTCTCTTCCTCTTGAATTTGTGCTGGGCTTGTGATCTGCCCTACCCAACAGAACACCATGAACACGATGTTGTACCACCTTCAGGTTAGACACCAGAGCCTTGCAGCTCCGAGAAGGCGGCTCAAAGCCTGCCATAAAGCAAAGAAGTCTGTAGTAAAATTAGCACGTGAGAGAGAGAGAGAGAGAGAGAGATGCATAACCATGCTGGCTGAGCCTGGCCTCCAGTCGCCTTGCCTGCTGGGTTCAGTCAGATAATGACCCAAGTGAAACCAAGAAAGGAGCCACCAATCTTTACAAACTCCTAAAGCAACAACCTAAGGGTTCCCAGGGTTTTGCTGTGTGGTAATAGGCAACTGAGACACAACCACTCACCTCACAGAAAAATGGAAGACAAATGGGAACACTTCTGGGATTTGTTCCCAGCAGTTCATATTTATTTGCATAGAAACAACAATTAGTAAATTATTAAAGTACCACACATTTAAGCTCAATTTCACTCAGAGTGGTGAGTTTCTATTAAATCTAGTCTCAGGGCCACGTGGCGCTAAGGGTCACAGTGTCTCCAGCACAGCTGTGTGCAGACATTGGGCTCTGGTATAAAGAGAACGCAGCCAGCCCACTTTCAGCCCAGAGGAATTGCGGCCCTGGGACAGCGCATGTGAAAAACACATCTGGTCTGTGTTTACAAGGAGCGACAGAAAAGCTCCTGCAAGCGGCCTCTCATGTGGCTCCTGTGGTCACCAAGAGGACAAAGGGCATCCGGAAATGACAAGCGACTGTCACTTAAATCAGCTGTCAAACCTGCCCCTACTTAACTCCTTATGAGACTGCTGTGCAGTGGGTCCTCTTTCCTCTTGAGCAGAGAAGGAAAGAGCCCCAGAAGGCAGCTCCGTGCAGCCATGTTGTCATTATTAGAATTAGTATCAGCTGCGGTGATTGAGGAGCACCGGTCAAGGTGCACAGAGACAGAACTAGAGGGCGTTGAAGTCATTAGGATTCTGAGGACAGGGAGAGATCCTGACTGAGGTCTCGCTGCGGTGCCAGGTCGGTACTACGAATAAATGAAATGCATTATGTCGTGTCTAGGCAGGAACCTGAACTTCGAAAGAAGACTTCGACTTTTATTTTGTACAATTTAGGGCTTCAGCTGATGATTTGTTCTACCCAGGAGGCTTGAACTAATCTGTAAAATGAGAGCTTGTCTCTATCCTACAGGCTCATGGTGAAGATTACAGCTGAAATGTGCCTAGCGCCAGGTAAGTACCTGCTATTATTAGTTAATGGGCCATGTGACAAGACGAAATAAAGTCTGACTTTCATACTCTCTGTTTGCCAAGCAAGCATGCAACTCCTTCTTGCCATCTTCCAAACCACCATAGGAAGATGTGCCCATAAATTAGGCAGGTTTCAAGCTGTTCTAAACCTTCTATTGTTCCCTGGTAGAAGCAAGCCTATTAAAAGAAAGCACTTCTGTAAGACTGAAATCCCCCGTAAGTACCACATGCACAGGCTTCACAAAAATAGCCCAAAATAAACCAAAGGCCTCTGGTCTCCCAAGCCACACAAATAACTGCTGATAGCACACTTTAAAAAAAAATATTAATTAAAACTTTATTATAAAGAACTAACAAGCAGAAATTACACACCAAAATTAAACAGATCCAAAGTCTGCATACCTCAGTGGCCTTCTAAATGGTCAGAATAGCCATTCTGAAGCTGCAGAACTTCACATTGGATTTTATACTTTCAATATCAAACACATTTTTCTGCATGTATCCACTACTAAAGGAATAAAAATGGAAAAGTTATGACAGAAAACTAGAAAAACAATTGTTTTATATCTGCTTTTGTTATCTGGGTGCTCATCACTTGCATTCAATCCTTCCTCATCACCCAATATTTATCCTCCATTGTTCTCCTTTCTCCATGCTATAGTACATCCACATGCATACTGGTTATATACATGTATATGTATAAAATACATGTAGTCACATGCATATGTGGAGATACATACATGTGCTAGGATCCCCATGTGATCACACCACACGTATACTCTTACACACAGTAGTCACCTTTCTTTCCATGGCATATCACATGTGTTCTTTCACCCTCCCACCCCCTGCTCTCAAGTCTTTGTATCCCTTTCCGGGTCCCTTTCTAGTTTCCTGACCTCTAGCCCCACTCATGACCCACCAGTACACATACATAACAATTAAAAGCTAGGAGCCACACATGAGAGAGAGCATGCAGCGTTTCTCTTTCTGGGCCTAAAGTTACTTTGCTTGATCCAATACTCTTCAGTTCCATCCATTTTCCTGTGAATGGCACGACTCCAGTTTTCTTTGTCGTTGGGTAAAATTGCATTGCTTTTATTACAGCGTTTTCATAATTCATTCATCACCGGAAGGGCATCGAGGCTGGCTTCATTTCCAGTTCATTTCCAGTGGATGTGCAAGTGTTTCTCTGGCAGGATGCAGAGTCTCCCTGCCAGAGTGGAGCACTAGGGTAATTCTGTTTCATTTGTGAGAAGCCTCTACACTGGTTTCCACAGTGGCTGCGCCAGTCCACACTTTGACCAGCAGGGAATAATGCCCTCTTTTCTGCATCCTTGACTGTGGTAAGATGGAATCTCAAAGTAGTTTCAGTTCACATTTTCCCTGTGGCTAAGGGTATGGAACACTTTTAAACATATTTAATTACCATTTGTGATTGTTCTTTGGAGAACTTTCAGGTAAGTTCATTCATTTATTTGTTGGCTGTGGGGTCTTTTGGACTTTAATCTTTGTAGCTATTTATAGTTCTGGATATTAATACATGTCTGGTGTAGATGCTAGATTTCTCCCACTCTGGGGGTTCTTCATTCATGCTTCCTGTGCTGTAAAGAGCTTTTCAATTTGTATAATTTCAGTTGTCCACAGTTGTGGTTATTTCTCCAGCTCTGGGAGTCCTTTCCAGAAAAATAACCTTGCCTATTGTTACGTTTTGAGCTGTTTTCCTGTGAACACTGGTTTCTGTTGTTGTTTTATAGAGTTGATGGCGGTGATGCTGCAGCTGATGACAGGGACTGTTGGGACTTCTTGGGTTTCTAGCAGCATCAACAGAAAGTATTGATTCACCTGTCCTACTTTCCTGATCCTCCCAGTGACTGATTAGTCAATTTCCCGCTGGATTTATGCTCTGTAGTGTTTGATTCACACCATGAAAATTTTGATTCTGAAGTAAATATGATTTTCCTAATCTCAGCCTACTTCCAATAAAAGTGAAACTCTCACTGCTTTGAACTGCATTGAGCGGTGATGACAAAAACGCGTGTTTCCCATTGTCGCCCATTCTTCTGTGATTTGGTACCCAGGCTTTGCTTTACGTGGTTCCAGAAGCCTGGGAACAACAACCGTCGAATGTACTTGGCAGGGCTCGCCCAAGGACAGCTGCTTTTGGGCCCAGCCACAGGGACATTCCCTATGTTAGGCAACAGTCTCCCTTCAAAACCTGCCTCTCAGCCTACACATTCTTGAACGAGCAGGACTCGGAGTTGTTCATGGTTTGCAGAGTGAGCCTCCTCACTCAGAATGATTGAAATAAGGCAGACCTTAAATGCAAACATTCCTGTGGCTTTAAGTGTCTCTGAAATACATTTCCCAGAACTCTGTTTCCATCCATCCCTTTCTGTCACACATTTGCATATAACACAGCTCCATGGCTCGGCTTCCTGCTCACTGGCAACTCTCAGACAGCTGCAAAGGCTTTTGTTATGAGAGTAAACGTTTAGGAGAACATCTAGGTTAGCTTTACTACAACAGAGCTAACAGATAAAAGTGCCCTGTACTTGATTTATTGAGGGATGTTTGGTCTTTCTTCAAAAGGAAGCCATAGGTAATTTTAACTCCAGGATCAAGAAAAAAATGTTCTTTGAACCATTCACCTACAGAGTATAAAACCCTGTGAATGTATTTGTTTATTTCTGTTGTCATTATTATTTTAAGAGTATAATTATGTAAGGTCATTTTATGAAACTGTATTATAAAAGGAGCGGTGGGCTGCTTCCCACCACCCAGCTCCCAGCTAGCTTTACCCGAAATAATCACACAGAAACTGTATTCATTTAAACACTGCCTGGCCCATTATATCTAGCCTCTTCTTGGCTAACTCTCACATCTTAATTAACCCATTTCTAATAATCTGTATATCACCACGTGACTGTGGCTCAACGGGATGAGTCTAACCTACATCCTTCTCAGAGAGGAAAGCCATGGCATCTGCCTGACTCTGCTTCTTTCTCCCAGCATTCAGTTCTGGCTATTCCACCAACCTAAGGGCTAGCCTATCAAAAGGCTAAAGCAGCTTCTTTATTTAACCAATGAAAGTAACACATAGACAGAAGACCCTCCTACACCACTGTATAGTACTTTCCCCCCAGTTTTTTAAAAAGATCTTTACTTTCAAATGATGAGGGCACATTTATAACTACCATGTTAAATCTGATTTTTTTTAAAAAATAAATCCCCAATTAATCTTAATTTAAGTTTATTAGGGAATAAAACCCTTAATGAAGGATTTTTAGGTCAGGAACATAGATATCGACATCTCCATGCGAACCCAGGCTCAATTTTTCCTAAAAGCACTTATTTTTATAATTCATTGATGTTTACTACTATAGAAAAAAAAGATGGAAATCTATTTTGGTTAGTGATTGGAATAATATGTGAGTTTCAATTCATTGCCTTTCACTGCCAGATACTAATTGAATTTAACTGAGTCTGAAGTAACAGGATTTTAGTGTCTCAAAGAAAACAGAGGAAATGATAAAAGCTTTACAGATATTTTATCTCAAGTGCCCAGTGACCAGACTCACTCATAGAAATTGCAATTATGGTGTCTTGATAACATATTATATGTTTAGAATGAGAGGGCAGAAAGTTAACCTAAATTAATGGCATATGAAAAAGCCATAAGAAAATCTGATGCTTCATAAAGTAAAACTTAAAAACTAAGCTAATAACCTAAACCTACAATTCCTTTTTTTTTAAAGGAGTTTGAATGGAGTTATACTGTATGGATGGATAAAGATGGTTCTAGAAACCATAGGTAATTAAACAAAAATCCCAGTGCCAGGAGTGGGATACCTCTGTGTTTGTTGGCTAAAGAGACCTTTTACGGCCCACAAAATAATACAGACAAATGAAATAGAAAAATCAAGCTAAAACTGAAATGAGAGCTTCCAACCTGCAGGCTGGACCTCATCAGTGACAGAAGGCATTATGTCTGCTGCTGCAAGAGAATTGTTATCTCACTGGTCTTACTATCTGCGGACACAACAATACTGACTGGCCAGGTAAAATGAGCCCAGTGATGCAATAATGGTTATTGGACTAACCATTTATTTTTTTTAAAAAAAACATGGATTTGATGCCTACTCAATATGAAGAGAATTCTCATCTGGTACTGTTAACTGGTTGAAAGTCCATGCCTTGGGAGGTCACAGACTGCAGTGGGGGAAGCTGCTATTAGTATTTTGATAAGCAAACATGATGTGATAGTCAAATTCTAAATAATGACAGTGCTGTTGTAAGAGAATCTTCTTTTTGCAGTGGTCATTGGTGACTCTGATACTCATAACTGGTCAAAGGACAGACAGAAAATGACTGTTGAAAGGCCAGACATAAATAGGATGTCCATAACATTCCAAGGCTCTGGAAATGTCACAGACCTATCAGGAAGCACATAAAATCTAGAGTAATGATTCTCGACATATAGGTCATGACTCCCACAGGTGTCTGAAAGGAATAACAAAACACCCTACAGGTCAGATATTTACACTGTGATTCACAGCAGTACCAAATTATGCTTATGAAGTAAAAATGAAGTAATGTTATGGTTGAGGGTCACCACAACATGAGGAACTGTATTAAAGAGTCACAGCATTAGGAAGGTTGGGAACCACTGAACTAGAGGAATAGGCATGGGGATCGATGTGGAAAGGTGACATCCAGGAAAAACATGGTTGTAGCACTCTTGACCTCATAGCAGCTGATTATCTGCACAAGATCATGACCAACGTGAACCCGCTGACACCCTGTCATGAAAGAAGAGGCTCATAGGGTCCTACTCCTTTCTATGAGTTGAGAAGTAGCTAATGGTAGGTGGAGAGGGAGGGTCATTTTCTCTAGGAGTGTAGCTACTAATAAGGTCACATGGTCCTGTAACCAAACCCCCATCTATATTCCTGTAAAAAGTCCTGATGAAAATTATTGGGTCACTAAAAAGAGAGAAAAGTAGAATGGGGCTTGCCAAGAAGAAGAGAATGAAGGAGAGCATCCGCCAAAAGAAGGGGACAAGAAAGGCAGCAGGGGGATGTGAATGAAATATGTACTTGCGTGTCACAATGAAACCAGTTGTTATGAATAGAAGCTAGCTTAAATCACTTGACAAGAGACATAAATAATTCTACCATCTCTCCTTCGAAGAAACAAGAGAAATACACACATATAATAAAAATCACATTTATTTATATTTACTGGGATTCTAGTGGCTTGTGGGAAGGTCATTTGCTCTTCCTAAATTCATATATTTAACACCTACCTCAAGAGATATCAGCCCTGACCACTAAAACAGAATCAGAGCTATCATAAAAATGTGTTGCCTAATAAATAATCTAAACTAACTTTAGAAAGGATGATTGGGTCCCTTTTCATACTGGCATTTGGTTTTCCTGGTTTTGGATCAAGAAATAAAAACCAGCAACAATAAAACCAAAAGAAAATTTTTCTAGATGGCAGATTGATATAGATTTCAAAATTCAAAGCAGGTCCCATCATGTTTAGAAACAAATTTGGTCAAAATTAATCCTCTTCCACAAAAGGGCTTGCTAAGAAGAGGCTAGATAGAAGAGTTCTCAAGGTTATGTCAACTGTTTCCATGAAGTACAAACTAGGTGTGAGGGATGCTGATGTAGTTTTCATTACCAATACAGGTTAGATATAAAAAGCTCAGTTTTTTTCTATGGTTTGGTGTGATCTGAGTGCTCACCAATGGCCCATTGTGATTTAAGATCTGCAGGGGGGCCACTTTGGAAAGGCAGCAGATATACGTGGGATAGTGCCTGGTGGGAGATACTTAGCTCACCAGGGCCATTCCCTGGGAGGGTTATGGAAGCCTGGTGGTGGAAGCTCTTCCTCTGAACAGTATACGGTGCAGCTCTCCGTATGGCTAAACTAGGGTTTCCCAGTTATAGATTTTGAAGCTCCAAAAGCGTGTGCTGATTAAACCAAAATTTCACTTCTTATATTAAGTTAGCTGCCACATTGCAGGAGTGCAAAAAATTAACTAATACAGTTCTTAATGTTAGCTTCTTTACACCCAAATTCAAGTATTTGCGATAATTAACTATTTAAAGCAATAATTGAGGAAATAGGGTAGGCATAAATGTGAACTTTCTGAATAACTATATTTAATTATTGTGAAATTTAATCCAACTGGGTTTTACAATTTATATGATAAGGGTTCCACATAGCTTATTTCCAAGGTCAAGGTTACTGGCAGCAAGGTCCCTACATGGCTGTACTGAGACTTTGGAAACATAACAGGTTAGTAGGTGGGGTTAATGTACATACTACAAAGTTGGTCCTTTTTGCCTTATTCTAAATAAGGTCTCACTCTGTAACCCTGAGTGGTTTGGAATTCTGGCTTCATACTCATAGAGATCCATCTGCCTCTGCCTTTCAAGTTCTGGGATTAAGGGGGTGTACTACTATGCCCAGCGAAGGCAAGCGAGATCTTATAAAAGACTTGTTTGAGCCTTGGATTCCTCAAGGCTTTATATCTCTCCACATGATACCTTCTGCTTGCATTCTTACCATTTGAATGCCATCTACCATGAGTTTTCCCCAAAACCAAGATACTTGTGCCGTAGTCTTCTGCTCATTGAGCACTGATTGCATAGCTGAGCTTCTCCTTTGATCCTTCACCATGAGAAAGAGGTTTCCGTGTCACAGGATTGTCCCTTTCGTCACACTCACTCTCCTCAGACGCTCTTTGGTCCAAAGCCCTTCCCATTGACAGTCAAAGACATGAAAGATTCCAGAAAAGTTCTCTACCTGTTCTTACACACTGAGCTTGCTGCCCCAGGAGTCCGCGGGGTGGCTAAGCAAACAACCCTCTAACTGGTGGCTTACGTGGGATGTGGATGCTGGAAGCTTAGCAAGAAGCTGTTCTTTGTGAGACTGTCTATAGGCCCTTCCAGCTACGTGTCT